CAAACCAGCGCTGTAAATCAAGCCAGAAAAACACTATTTCGCTAATTTGTTGCTTTAGGAATAAACGAGACCGCCCGGCTGCATTTCGCTTCAGTCCAAAAGCTCTACGCTCATTTTAGTCCCAAATGCTACTTCGTACGTCTCGACGGCTTTCTATCATTTCCCTCACCGAAATACGTCCAACTCGGCATTCCTCAACTGAACCTAATCCCATACGCGGAATATTTTGTATTGCAAAAAACGTCAGTTTGCAACAAAATGATGAACTGTTAAGTATGTGAACTAAAATACATCCTTTTTAGGCCTCTAACACGCTGAATGGACTTTTTTCCTCCAGAAGAACGTATCCTGACCACTCCAATGTGAGGAAATCTGGGGAAAATTCGTACAAAGGTTGGATTAAAGCATCCAAAGTGTTGAACATATCATTGTGATTTCTGTCCACAGCCTAGTCCAACTCCCAGAATTCCCACATTTTCCGCTATAACACCGGGAGAAAACTTTACAGATAGTTGGCTGTTTGAGCTAGGAGCAGCGGTGTAGTTCCCAATTTCAGGAATTCTACTTAAAACAGCGTCGTATCAACGGGGCAATGAAATACAATCCAAAGTTGACGGATGTACCACACATATTTTCCTCTCGCGCACAGACTCTCTCTCTTTCTTGTAATAATTTGTTTGGAAACTTTGCTCTAGTCGGGTCCTTCCCTTCTTGTCTCCATGTTTTCCGAATTTCAGTAGTTTTTAGCCGTTCTTTTTCCACCAAAATGTGCTCACCAAGGATTCCGTCTCTATACAAACGCAGATAAAGAAAGCACACACATATGTGTTGTCATAAGTGTCAGTTTCGCGCTGTGCGAAGATTAAAAATGATTAAGAAAAAAAAATCACAAAAATCCAGATAATTCCTGACTTTCGGTAAAATCACATCCCGGATTCCTACGCCGCGGCGCTTCACCACATTTTGGCGTATCCTTCCGCAAACAGCAATATCACCTCCCTATGTTGTAGACTAGCCCACTAGTTGTCAGTGACCACATTAAGGACATTATTCACTCATTTTAATAAGTCATTTTAAATTCAGGATCTACAAAAAGTGAAAAAAAACAGTATTCATTCTTTTGATGTATTCTGACCAAACTCAGTAGTTAAAATAATAAATATGAATTAAGAATTGTAAATTGATTTAAAACGCATATTTTAATATGTATGACACAGAATCTTTTTAGGATCAGATCAAACAAACATAAATTAAAAAAATAAAACAGTTTTGGAAGATACTAATAAAGACCTGTGATTTATTGAAAGAAGGAGCATATTTAAATCTTTTGCACCACCTAGCGGTTCATTAGTGGTTTAAAAGTTTCTTGTTCAAATATTTGCAATCCAGTGAATGGAAATTGTATTTCTTATTGGTTGAGATCCCAATATTTATGTGTAACCCCTGTAATTCAAATCATGTGTGAACATTTATTGGCGTATTTTGTTTGTTTGTTGGTTTGTTTTCCTGATGCAACAAATAAAATGAGCTACAATAAAACAATTTATGTAAATAAACAAATAAATGAAATAAATAAAACTAAATAAAACATCTAAACAAAACAAATAATGTATAAATGGATATTGGCAGGGTTTTATTTATTTATTTTTTTGGTTGTTTGTTTGTTTTCCTGATAAAACAAATAAATTTAGCTACAATAAAGCCATGTAAATAAATAAATAAATAAAACAAAATAAAACACGTAAACAAAACAAAACATTTATAAATTATATTGACATCTGTTTGTTTGTTTGTTTGTTTGTTTGTTTTCCTTATACGTTTTATGCCTAATATATTTTTGCATAGATATTGGCGTTTTTTTGTTAGCTACAATAAGTGAATAAATAAATAAATCAATAAATCAAAAATGCATTTGTGAAATTATAAAGAAATACTAAGTTTTAGGCTATATAGGTTTTAGGCAATATGTTTTGTCAAAATGTTTGTCTAGTTGTTCTCTAAAACTATACACCACACTTAATGATCAAAATATCTCAATGAAGTATTTAGCTTTATTAATTCATGCATACTCTCCAAAATACACAGTAGCTATAGTGTATTTGATTTACTCAGCATCAAAATAATTTGCCATTTCTGTAACCTGTATTCTTTTGTACTGTACATCTGTGTGCAAAAGTAATCACATAAGGCTCCATGTTTCGTGTTTATGATTTGTTTTTTAACTAAAATCCATTCAAAAATTATGTTTATTTTAAATTCAGTGAGGATAATTTGCAGCTTTAAGCATTTGTAGGTATATATCAGGTAGGAAGCAAAAGGCACCCAAAAATCCAAAAGACTATGTAGTGAGAGGTGAATTTAAGTTGTGGCGAGAAACCTGTTAAACCAATTACTATGTGGGATAAGAGTGTGAAGCTGGAGTAATCCGAAATGCATCAAATTACTGTGAAGAAGGTGTTATAAAATGAGTACAACATCATTTTATTGTTGTGTGTGAATGCACTTTATCCTTATGATATGATCGTTTATGAGCACTTTGCTTTGATAACAAGGTGGAAGGATTTACCAGAGAACTTATGTGTTGCATTTGTTTTACTTAAATTGTGTTTATTGGATGTAATGGAGAGCCACATAAGTGAACAATACATTAACATGCACAATAAAAGTAATTGAAATGAATTAAATTTATAAAAATCTAAGTTGTTAAGCTTTAAATCCTGATATGTCATGCAAAAGTATTAAAAAAAAATTTAATGGAAAATACAAAGTATCACAATCTTAATACAGCATGACATGATAAACTAATAGAATAGATGTAAAATGTCACAGAAATGTTTTGAAAATTGATCCACATCTTAATATAGTAATGTGAATTTATAAAAGGACAATAATATCTTGATTTGCTGTGGAAAAAAATCGTTGGAATTAAAGAATATGAACTAACATGTCATCTAAAAACTTTTTTTGAATATACCTTACAAATAGTTAGAAATGAATAACAATGGAATATATACAAGTCTTTATATGTCACAGAAGAATCAATTTAAAGTACCTATATTTATATTTATATTTATATTTATATATATATATATATATATATATAATAAATGCAGCTCTGATGAACAGAATAATTTTCTTAAAAAAAAAAGACCCCAAACTTTTGACCCGTAATGTGTATATTGGAATCATATAAATGCCTTGTAAGAGTAAAAGTAATTATAGAAATCAATTAAAGGGGTGGTCTGGGGTGTATTTTTAAGGCTTGGTTGTGCTAACAAAATGCGAAGCAATTTGTGCTAATGCATGTAAAAGTCACATATTTTTTTTCATATTATCTTACTTTTAAACACTTTAATATTTTTTGAGAAAGTAGTTAAAGTTTGCATAACCAATGATTGATGTTATCCTCCCAAAAATTTGTAATGTTTTTTTTTTGCACATTCAATTTACCTTGTAATGCCAGACATTAAACAGATTAGTCTTTTAAAATGTATTTTATTATTTGTTTTATTCAAGGTCAAATGTGTAATTAGTTTTTATTTATAAACAATTTTTTTAAAGTGTAATATAAAGGTTCAAGAAACCCTGGAGTACTTTTTATGTTAACAGATTTGTGTGTGTTGAGCATTAATTAAGACAACGTTAGCACCTATCAGCTTTAAATGTGGGGAAAACTGGATGATTTTAAGCTTTTGTCAGCTAATTTCTTCTTCAGGGTTTAAAATAATTTTTGGGGCAGGATCAAAATCGGTGACGTAGCTCACATCTGTGGAGTGAGGACGTGTCGGTTTCTCAATATTATTCATAGTGGAGTTTTCTTATCCTATGAGAAGAGCCTGTTGCTAAATTATTCATGATAGTTTTTGCTTTCCGAAGACAAGACATACCTGCCAAGCTGTGAGACCCAATGACTGGGTGTGTTCGCATATTTAGCCATCCCACGATGCTGTCAGGGCCGATACAGCAAAGCAGTTGGTTTGCAGCAAGCATATTTGTCGGGAGAGCTGTACGAGAATTGGAGAATTATGGACTTTGTCTTTTATCAGTTGAATTCGTTACCATTCAGACACATCGCCTATATCTGTGCTGTTGTGTTCGCCTATGTTTAAAATCCTTTGGATTACCGGCATGGCTAATGGTTGAAACAGGGAAAGAGACCTGCTGCTGCTCCACTGTTTCTGCATTCAGACTCGAGGATTCAACAGTAGAGAAGTCTTTCTCATTTCTTTTGTTTATATAAACATGATCATCTTTATAATGAGTTAACAAATTGTATATGTGTTAACAAAATTACAAATAACAAATGTAGCAGGACATTAAGTTACTTGCTATTTATTTCTTTGCATTTTAACTTTGTAAGCTATAAAATCACTCCTCATGGTTTGTGTCTCATTTTGTGACAGTTGTTTGCTCCCCTCTTTTTCCCCTTTTTTAATTCTGAGATTGACTTAAAGTGAAAGAGGTTGGTTTCATGGCCCTTTAATAAACCGTCTAATTTTGTTGCATCAGTAATTGTTGGCATAATAACTTTTAAAGCTGGAAGCATTAACAAATTATTTAGAAATTTATTGCTATTGTTTAATATGAAAAAATATATAGAGTGTGCATATTTTCAATATCGCCTAGCCCTAGCACTCTTTATGTCGTGTCCTTTGGAAGCCCAAATACAAAAACAGAAGAAGCTCTGTGGAAATAGCTGTGTTTGGATGGCATTTTAGCTTTTCTCTGCTATAACATTACAGCGCCTCTGGCTACGCCCCTTCATGCTCATGGTGAATGGGCATAACCTGAAGCGTTAGTGATCTCACTAATCCGGATGTCTTTTTTTATCATCCTCAAACTTAGTTCGCGGTAGGCTTTTAACTCTGTAAAAGCCAATGTCTCCCTTTGCATTGAACTTTGAGGGTATTACATTCAGAGATGTTTTTTTATGTTCACACAGCTACATTAAACATCAACTAAAGTTTAAAATATGATATCATAGTGCACCACCCCTTCAATGAATAATGAATGAAACATTTATTTATAATGGAAAATCTTTTTGAGATAGTTGTTATTGAATATAAACTGCTAACTATATAAATATTCATATGCAGTAAAAAGTTCTGGAAATGCAATAAAGGTATACAAATCCTGTTCAATTGCAAAGAGTCTAGATACACACAGAAGCATATGCAAATTATTTTCAACTCAAATGCACAGAATGGCTTATTTTATTTTAACAGCATGTCCGTTAACACCATCCAGCTTGTACTGTTCCTTCCATCGCCTGTATTTACCACAAGTTTTCCTGCAAGCAAACCGTGCAATGTCTACCATGAAGATCCATGAGAGAGTGTAAATGGCCACCCCACCAACTTTGACAATTAGCGATGGCTTTGGAGATGTTAATTCGCAGTACAGCATTCTGCTTCCAACGCCGATCCTCACAGAGGCAAATAGAAGAATGAAGAGTAGGTCCACCACATCTCCAGCTAAACTGTCATAGCATCCCATGCGCTTGAGGAACCAGCGCGCCTGCAGGAGTGGGTTGGTGATCTCACTGCCAAAGAGGACGGCGCAGGTCTCGATGCCTGACTCACCCAGTCCCAGTGCCAGCAGGATTCCAAAGATGCTCATGGTGTGGTGGGCCAACATCACCGGACCCTCTGTACGGAAATACACACACCAGGCCATGTCGAAGAGGAAGTATCCCAAGCTGAGAACTAGAGTCAGGATTTGGAAGTATGTGTTTTCTGTGCCTGGCAACAAAAGGAGAGTCAAAATTCACATATAATTCTTGAAGGTGTTTATAAATATGACAGACAGTTGAAATTCATTTATAGCTTTGTTTAACCCTTGTGTGCTGTTTTGGATGTTTTTCATCCATTCTGTTGTGATTTTGAGTCTTAATTTGGCCATATAATTCTCTGTATTTCAGGAAATGGAATGATTTTTGTTGACCAATCTTATTTTGAACACATATTGTGTTTATCAGCTCTCAAAGCATAGCAAAAATAAGTGTATTTATGCACAGACACACTATAATTAGCTGTTTCATGCCACAAAACTCCAGCCAGAAACTTTTATGCATTGGTCTATCTAAAGGGTTAATTGTGCCAACTGATGATCAACAAAAAAAGTACACATTTTACATCTTCCCAAAAGAAAAAAAAACACCTACAATAATGGATGGATGATTATTTGAGGTCAAGGCTTTGCAATAAAAAAAATATGGCTATAATGGAAGTCAATGGGGCAAAAAAAGCCACAAACATAACAAATGGGTAGTCAATTTGAACAGTAAACAAGGGTTAAAACCATGCCCATGCAAAACTCACCTCTGTGATTCCAGACAGTTGTGAATAGTATGATAATGCAATTTATTGCCAAGTCTCTAATTATGGGACATACACTCACCGGCCACTTTTTTAGGTACATATTGCTAGTACCAGATGGACCCCCTTTTGCCTTCAGAACTGCTTTCGTGGCATAGATTTAACAAGGTACTTAAACTATTCCTCAGAGATGTTGGTCAATATTGACATAATAGCATCAAGCAGTTGCTGCAGATTTATCAGCTGCACATTCATGATGTGAATCTACCGTTCCATCACATCCCAAAGGTGCTCTATTGGATTGTGATTTGGTGTCTGTGGAGGCCATTTGAGTACTGTGAACTTGTCATGTTCAAGAAACCAGTCTGAGATGATTTGTGCTTTATGACATGGGGTGTTATCCTGCTGGAAGTAGCCATCGGAAGATGGGTACACTGTGATCATAAAAAGATGGACATGGTCAGCAAAAATACTCAGGTTGTCTGTGGCGATGATATGATGCTCAGTTGGAACTAATCGGCCCAAAGTGTGCCAAGAAAATATCCCACACCATTACAGCACCACCACCAGCCTGAACCATTGACATAAGGCTGGATGGATCCATGCTTTCGTGTTGTTGACGCCAAATACTGACCCTACATCTGAATGTTGCAGCAGAAATCGAGACTCATTGGACCAGGCAACGTTTTTCCAATCTACTATTGTTCAATTTAATGAGCCTGTGTTGTATCGTAGCCTCAGTTTTTAGCTGTCAGGAGTGGCTCCTGGTGTGGTCTTCTGCTGCTGTAGCTCATCCACCAAAAGGTTTGACATGTTTGCGTTCAGGGATGCTCTTCTGCATACTTCAATTGTAACAAGTGGTTATTTGAGTCACTGTTGCCTTTCTGTCAATTCGAATCAGTCTGGCCATTTTCCTCTGACTTCTGGCATCAACAAGGGATTTGTGCTCAAGGATCTGCCGCTCACTGGAAATTTTCTCTTTTTCAGACCATTCTCTGTAAACACTAGAAATGGTTGTGCATGAAAATCCCAGCAGATCAGCTGAAATACTCAGACCAGTTAATCTTTCACCAACAACCATGCCACATTCAAAGTCTTTTAAATCACCTTTCTTCTCCATTCTGATGCTCGGTTTGAACTGCAGCAGATCGTCTTGACCATGTCTACATGCCTAATGCTATGAGTTGCTGCCAGACAAGTGTACCTAATAAATTGGCCAGTGAGTGTATAAGCAAACATTGATTATAAATCTTCCACACAAGATAGGGCAACTTACCTGGGTGTGTGAAAGGCCATGGCCCAGCAATAAAGCCAATGTAAGCAGTCAGACAGATAATCAGGATGCCATGAAACAGAGTGACCAGCCTGCAGTTCCACTCAGAGTCCCTCCCACTGTTCAAGTGACACAGCAACAGGTACAGAAAGAGCCAGCTAATCAGGCTGCAGCTTGTCTCCACTATAAACAAAGGCATCTCTGCAGTGGAGAATATTTTGTTTTCTTAGACATCAGAAAGATGACATCAGAAAAAATATTGAGCTGCATACACATTTCGATAATAATAATAATACATTAAATATAAAAACAATACATATTCAATATATGCACATTGTATTGTATATATACATATACAATATATTAAAGTTTCAAATGAAAAATAAACTGTATAATTCATCTGGATGAGAATTATAAAAGTGTCTTTTAGTTACAGTAATACTAATCTGCATTTAACCATGAGATATTTTTACTCGATTTTTAAATGTTAAAAGTTTTTTAAATTTTAAAATGTTTTTAAATTGTTATTTTATGATAATTAATTAAAAACATAAATAAATGACTTAAAAACAATAATAATAGTCATTTTTATTTCGATTACTGTAATAACTTAAACAGAAATAAACAACACAAAAAAAAAATGCTGGGTTCCACACAAATTCTTTTATATCGTCCCAAATACATTTTTCATTCATTCATTTTCTTTTCAGCATAGTCCCTTTATTAATGAGCGGTCACCACAGTAGAATGAACCGCCAACTTATCATATGCTTATTAGCATTATCATATGTTATTAGCATATGTTTTACGCAGCGGATGCCCTTCCAGCCTCAACCCATTACTGGGAAACACCCATACACACTCTTTCACACACAGACACCATGGACAATTTAGCCTACCCAATTCACCTATACCACGTCTTTGGACTTGTGTGGGAAACCGGAGCACCCGGAGGAAACCCACGCGAATACAGGAGAACATGCAAACTCCACACAGAAATGTCAACTGACCCAGCCGAGGCTCGAACCAGTGATCTTCTTGCTGTGAGGCGACAACGCTACCCACTGCACCACCACATCACCCACAAATCAATTAAATTAAATTAATTGTTTATACAAATTTTAATGGATTGAACATAAAACAATTAAGTTATCTAAAAAATCTCAATAATTGTGTTGATTCAACTATTTATTCAACTACTGTATAAATATAAATAAGTTGTTTGAACAAGCATTAAAAATCCTTTTTTGAGTAAATATGAACACCTTTTTAAACAAATATCATTAAAATAATTAAAAATGTGTTGTAAATAAAAGATATATAATAAAATGTATAATATAATATTATAATATGTATAACATAACATAAAATATATAACTAACAAATTAATTACATTTTTTATTTTATTATTTTATTTTAATTCATTTTAATGTAAATTTCCTCTTAAATATGATATACATTAATAAAATACTAATAAATGTCATAATAAATATCTGAATTTAGCGAAAGACAAAATAATAATGTAGCTACATAACCAATAAAACAAATACATATTTATATAAAAAAATGTTCTTAGAATAAAACAAACGTGAACTGAAATAGTTTTTTAAAAACCTAGTTGCAAATTTTTCATCATCATTAAAATAATTAGTTCATAGTATTTATATAAACGATTATATAAATGATCAAACAACTAAATAAATAAAAAAACTAAAACACAATCTCAGCTAAACTACAAAAACTGTAACTCTAAAATAACTCAAGCTGACATTATTTTATTTAACCTTTTCTTAATTGCTCAAATGCACTTTGCAGAAACATACAAACCTCAGAAACAACTCTTGCACACGGATCTTAGCATCCCAGTAAATCCACTTCTCCTCAACCCATTGCAACTTCAGTCCATTTCAGCATTGCGTCGAGGTGTTCAACCGCAAGTGACACCAGAACAACCCTTCCTGTCCTGAAAGTGGTGTGACATGACAGACAGACACAATCACAGCGTAAACCACAATGCTTCTTCTGCTCGCTCGCTAGCTCTTCTCCACACGGCCTCAAGCGGCTTGAGCTCCTAATGAGATTACACTCTTTACTCCCAATATACCCCCCTGATCATTTCCAAACTACACAGAGTTGTTCATTTGTCCATCCCATGACCGAAGAGTTGGGTGAATTGTGCCCTTGTAAACTTACCAGTCATTCTGTGAGGAAGTGGGCCAGTGAGGAAAGAGTTGTGCAAGGTTTTTATTTCTGCGGCTGGAGGATGTTACTTTTAACACACGACACAGGATTAGTCTGTTTGCAGCACTTACTGACCTCAGAAAAATCACTGCTACTACCACAAAACACAAATGCAAGTCAGTTCAATTATTCTATTTCCTTTTTCCTCACGTGACGACTGAGTTTTACATTATTGCACATCGGATTTGAAAACCTCTATTCAAACAACTGAAACAAATCACCTCAGATGGTAATGTTGTTTAACAAATAATACATTTTAGGAGAGATTTTTTTTCCGTCATGACAATAACTTTACCCAGGTATTAAAGAATTTTGGCCCAAATCTGGCATAAAGCTGGCACAGCAGGCATTTATCCAGCACTGGCATACAGCATGAGGGGCAAACATGGCTTGGGTTTGGCAGAGGTTGCACTGTTTTTAAGGCGGCAAACAAGACTTGGGCAAAATGTCAAATGTAGTATTTGGCCCAGATGTTATTAATTGATATGTAGGCCACTTAAGTTTGGCCTACCTTGACCCACATTTCAATAATTTTAGAATGAAGAAAAAAAAATCTACCAATCTGGTCACTTTGAGAAAAAGCTGATCTAAAGTGCAATGCTTCATGGGTTTATCAATTTCATTGCAGTCATGACACACCACCAACTTATCTGGCCCTGTTAACGCACACTTAAAGGTTATTAACTTGGCCCAGATGTGGTCCATGTTTGGCCCTTGTCTAGAATTCAGACTTGGTCCAGTCATGTACAGTAATTCACTGCAGCATGTGGGCCAAACAAAAGCTGATTGTTTAGGCCAGAGAAATGTTGCCATGTGGGTATGGTCACATACTGTAAATGCAAGATGTAATTTAAAAATTGTTTGGTCTGTTTTGGAAAGCAAATGCTGTGTTCAAATGTCTGATAAATGTCTTTAAAAGGTGTGCCGAATGAACATTCTATATTTTGAACATCTTATTTTAAACGTCTATTGACATTTGAAATTGACATCTAACAGACGTTTTGCAGATAACGTTGTATATTTTAAACATCTTATTTTAAACCTCTATTTGACATCTGAAATTGATATCTAATAGACGTCTTGCAAATATTCTTCCAGTTTTAAACAAACATCAAATAGAAGTTTTTTTCTGCAATGTGCCTGTGCTACCCAGCCGGCACAGGACATCAACTTGACGTCAAATTGACGTTGTACCCCAACGTCGTGGTACAATCGGGTTTATGTCAAAACCCAATGTCAGAATGAGGTCAGTTTCCAACGTCAGACAGACAGTCACTTTTCCAATGCAACCTAAAACAACCAATTAACCATGTCTAATTATGTTACAGCTTGATTTCTGTCAGACGTTAGATTTTGGTCGCCATACCTGATGAATAAATGTCAGTATTTGACATCAATATGACGCTGGTCTAAGATATTGGCTAGACATTGAATTTTGGTCACCCAACATCACAACATAATATTAGTAGCCTAGTCAAAAGCACATATGATCAAAGCTAATTTCAGGTTATTGTGTTTTATTTCTTGATGACTCTCTGTATTCCTTACTGTACACTTATATTTAAGATACATCTGTAATAATGCTTCAGAAAGGCACATTAACGTAATTTGTTAATTTTTATAAGTTACCTTCAACAATTATTAAATATTCATATTCAGTTGAACTCATTGACCTCATTGTACCCAATTTATTTTATATTTTTCCGATTATATACAGTTTAACCAAAGTTATTTCCCTAATTCTCTGGTGGATAAAAAGATGGATATAGCCTACATAACAACATGATGCATTATATTATTGCGATGACTGACCATCTAATATTCTATGGATTTTTATAAATATAAAATTATTTACATTTATAGAAAATTACATTTTTCTTGTTTTTTAAAAAGCTAATCATCTCCATGACAGACTTAAAGACCACTAAAAGCACAGGTTTCAGTGTTCTCCTGGCCTCTATACCCTTGAGAAGTGTCCTGAGGATGGGGGACGGGCATTAACACAGCTTAGCTATAATCTGAGACAGAGCAAGGTTATTACCGCCCGACAGAGACCTGCAGCAAATAACATGTAATTCTCAAACTTATGCAGCATGCATATTTACAATTCTATAATTTAAATAAAAACATCAGTGTGTGGCCAGAATTGTTCAAGTTCATCCGAAATTTGTGATAGCCATTGGAAATAAATTATGAATAATATAATATATTATAACAAATAATATAATATGTATAATAAATCTTTAGATGGGCCTCCGCTGCGTAAAAACGTGCTGGATAAGTTGGCGGTTCATTCCGTTGTGGCGACCCCGGATTAATAAAGGGACTAAGCCGAAAAGAAAATGAATGAATAAATGAATGAATGTCTGGGCTTATACCAGGGGTATATTTATTTTTAAATGTCTGTGCTTAAATAGCAAAACAGACATTTTGTGTTTGAAAGGGAATGAGCAAAAACAGAAATGATACGAATGTTTCACTGAGCTCAAGCTTTTAATATTTCCCTGTTGTCTGCAAACAAATCCTGTTTCAAGTCAGCTTGAACCAATGTTTGTGATATAAGTGGACGGTAGAGGGCAGCCTTCCTCTAGATTTCTTTCTATTTGACCCAGATATTATTTTGAGGAGGCAAAGTAAGCGGTTATTCTAGGATCGAATTAAATGTATTGCATGATTTTGTTTATGCCCTTCAGACATTTCTGATTATTGTTATAAACAAGAGTGACTAAATCTTTTATAACAGCATTTTTATAACAATTATGTGTCTGGTGTATTTCGGACTGTCTTATTCACAATACGCACTGCAAAATTAAACTCCAAACATCATAGTAATTAAGAACAATATATTTAGTGAGCCTGAATCTCAGACATGCCCTTTGCAAGATGTCATCTCAATAAGATATCATGGAACTCTGATTTGAACAAAGCAATGTCAGCTCAGGAGATTTTTTGTGAGCTGCAGTGCACTTCTGTCCGTCTAGAATCTGAATTCAAGTATCATACTATACTCCACTATATTTCATAAAAACGTTGTTTCTTGTTATTTTGAACTGGAGAAATCATTTGACCAGGATATAGTTCACCAAAAACGGAAAAAATGAAGTAGCCTATTCGGAAGTAGGCTATATGTGTTTTCCTACTATAGAAGTAAATGTTCACCGGGTTTCTAAAAAAAAAAAAAAAAGTCAATATATCTTATTTAGTGTTTAAAATGTGTGTTTGGGGCCACCTAGTAAATTTTCATAATGGGGAAAACTGTTCAGAAATGACCCTGAATGATTCATTTGTTAATTGGGAGCTTTTTCAATTCAAGTCAAGAACTCACTGATATACATCAAATTAATGATTCACTCACTCAAATGATTTTTTTCAGTAGTTAACAAATCACTGATTCATATAATCTGGTCAGAATTAATTGGTGTGTTCCAAATGGGATATCAAGCAGGGGTGTAACAACCAGGGGGATGCATCCCCCTCACTGTTAGAGACAGACCCTTTAGAAACTGGTGATTAATATTAATATTTACACTAACCTTTTTATGAATCTTTAATATTATATGAACGTAAACTTTTTGATCTCATACAGCTGTTCACCCCCAAACCCCACCCACACTGTTAAAATGTCCGCTACACACCTGATATCATGTTTATCATGGCCGCCATATTTAAAATCATGGCTGCCATATTGAAGTTTAGTTTTAAATCGAAGTGCTCAAATCTGGCCACTTCGAATAATTTTGAAAAATATAACTAATGGAATATTTGGAAAATGACCTTTGAGCAGGAAAGTGACACACTGCACTCAGTTTGGCAAGGTTCATTCCTGTTCTAATACCTTTAGAGGCACCTTCCAAAGGGATTAGGGTATAGGATGAGCACTTCTGAATGAAATTGGTAAACAATACACTGATTAAATGATCTTGTCTGTAAGAGTCACTAATGGCTCCCTGATTCAAATGATTTTGTCAGAGCAAGTCTCCAGTTAACAACTCCCTGATTCAAATGATTCAGTCAAAGAGAGGCTCTAGTGAACAACTCCCTGATTAAAATGATCTGGTCAAAGTGAAACTGGGTTTCATTCCCAAGGGCTCATCCCTATGCCCTAATCTTTTCGTAGGCTCCCTCTGAAGGGATCAGAGCATGGATGAACCCTTATAAAACTCACTGTGTGACACCAAACAACTTCCCTGCTCATAGATTTATGGCCCATAGTGTCCATCAGTTGTATCCGTCAAAATCTTTTATTCCAAAGGGCAATTCGAAGTAGCCAGTTTTGAACCCTATTAACGCACTTCAATATGTCGGACATGATTGTTTTCAAACCAAAGTGCTCTTTGAAGGGTGATAAGTCCTATCTGTAACTCGCCGTAAGTCAATTGCTGCGTCCCAATTGGCATACTTTAACTATGTAGAAGTATGTATTTTTTGTGAAGAAAAAGTGCATACTTTTGAGTGTGCAACAGAAGAGTATATGCAAGTTTTAGGACATACTTCTTCCTCATTAACAGATCGATATGTGGCTTATTTACATTCCAATCCAGGCTCATTCTGATAACGTACCCCTATAAACATTTCTGGAGAGCACCAAATACGTCCCAGGAGTAACGTTTCTTGTGGTTTTTGTTTTCTCGAATCCACAAAAGGCCACTGTGTATCCACTGTGTGTCCACAAAAGGCCACTGTGTGCCATTCGTGTCAGGGTTCTGCCA